TTTAGTTCACAAAGAAAAGGAAGATTTGTTTGTTTATTCTTCTCTCTGAATTCCCTAGATTCTGTTCAGAGGTTAAAAGAACCCAATGCCCTTTTCTCATCCATCAAGCTGATGGATGGAATATTTGTAACTTCAGCATCACAGTCTGAAACCTGCTCTTTTAACTTCTGTGCATTTCTGTTTAACTGGTTTTATTTTTCATATTATTTTCTTCTTCTCTGCCTCATTTGCTAACAATTTTCCTTTGGCACTTGGTACTCTGTCTCTGATCTTCTCCCTTCCTCTCACTTCATTCTCCAGACAGCTAATCCATTTCTAGGGTTCAATGGTCACTGCATTGAAGACGATGCTCAAATCAGTGTGTGCCTCTAGTCTCCCTCCATATAGATCACTTTAGCTCCTGAATGTAGTGTACCTCAAGTTCATATTAGTGCTCCAGAGAAAGTATGCCTAGCTCCACAGTCACATTATTACCACTATTTCCTACCCACACAGGGAAATACGAAGGAGAGTCAGAAATAAGAATTTCCATGCTGTACGATTTCCATCATCAAATGTTCAGAAGCAGGCAGAAATTATCTCTGCTGTGTAAGGTCCAGATAATAGTTACCTTCAAGAGAAGATAGCAATTGGCAGCTATCAATTTGGGTTTCCGAAGTCCAAGTAATTTTTGATTCTCAAGCTGACTGACATTTAGAGGAGAGAGCTCATTCTTCAAGCTATGATGTGATTTCTATGTTTTTCTCTATTGGTGTGATTTTTAAATTTTTTAAATCAACACTTTGACACAGAAAAAGAAAGATAAGAAAGATATTCTTTTTTTTTTAAGATTTATTTATTTATTTGTACAGAACTGGGGTATAGGCCAGAGATGTGGAGGGTGAGAGGATTCACCAGAGACAGAGAGGGGAACAGAACAGGCAGCAGTGTACTTCCTCTACAGGCAGTGTACAGGAAGCACACTGCTGACGGGAGCAGTGGGCGGGTCAGGAGAGGTCTGCCACACCATGTGGATCTCCTCAGGGGCAGGTGGGGATCGAACTCATGCGGAAGTGGCTTTAGCTTCTTAGTGCTGTGCTTTAACCCGCTTCGCCACCAGGGAGGGCCCAAAAGAAAGATACTCTTGCTGAGTGAATGACTAAAGAAAAAGATGAAGATTCTCTAAAATTTTAGATAGTTATCAAATATATGATATGGAGAAATAGGACATTATCAGTAGCAGTGCCATTTAGAATGCGTTCCAAAGTTGGAAATGTGTGCAATTTGCAACTGGACAGTTCCACTTCCAGACACACATCCAAAAGAAACTATTCCAGGTGTGCAGAAGGAGATGTGGACAGCAGTGTTCACTGCAAGATAGCTTATAACAGCAAAACAAGAAAAAACTAAAACAACCTAATGTCCAAATGGGAGAATGTATAAATAAATATGTAGTGTTTATATAAGGAAATGTTAAATAGTTTTAAGGAATATATACACATTATGGTAAAAAGTAAAAATACAAAAAAAATAAAAGAACTAGCCAAACTTCCAGTAAAACATAATTTATAATAACTCACAAAAAGAGAACTTGAAAATGTGAATAGCTCTATATGTCACAGAACTCTAAAAATGCTTTTGTGGATGAAAAGGCAAGTTACGGAATATGCATAGCACAACACACATAAGCATTTCCAAAGTATAAAACTACCACTATTATTGACTATGTTACCTATTTTTCATGATTGTCTGGACACTGAGATGGTGACAGCAGCAGCCTTGGGGAGTGGATAAGGGACTGACACTGAATATGGGGACAAAGGAGGCTGACATGCCACCTTCATTGTCCTATTTCTTTTACTTAAAAGAGTAGCAAATGTAACAGAATATTAATATCATTAGGGGTGATGGCTCACAGGGTGTTAGTTAGATTATTCTTTTTAATTTTCTCCTTGCTTAACTTCTCAAAATGAAAAATAATTTAGATAGCAGCATCTTTCATCATTTAGTCCTAGACTTCTTTATTGTTTAGGTATTTTATTTTAGAAGAATGTATATAAGGCCCTCCCTGGTGGTGCAGCTGGTTAAAGTGCAGCACTACCAAGCTAGCCGCTTCGGCACCAGCTCGATCCCTTGCCAGGGAGGTGACCCACATGGCTCAGCAGACTTGTGATCTGCTGGCTGCTCCCCTCAGCAGTGTACTTTATCAATCTGCCTGTGCTCCACACTCTCTCTAGGGAATCCTCTTGCCTGTGCCCCAGTTCTGTATGCATAAATAAACAAATCTTTTTTAAAAATTGTATATAAATATGCACTTTGTTTAAAGAAAAAATGTGTATTAATAAAAGTATAGCTGAGCTAGCTAAATGTCCTTTTACGTTTATGTTCACAAAACATACTTAATTTATCTAACATTCCTTAGTATTAAAACGTGGCCTTCATATAGATATGTGAGGAGGGAATTATGATGGACCAAAGTTTTACCAATCTGTATATTAAGAAACGTACTTTCTAAGATAGATGTTCTCATGTACCTCTATCCCTAGAAGCATCCATTTGTTCTTGAGCCACATTTTCCAAGCACACAGAAAAGCAAGAAGTGAAAAGGATTTCCTCTTTGGCACTAATGATGTGTTGGTTCATAGATGGTAAGACTAACGGTCTGAAGTCACTGATGTTTATTGGCTCAGTATCCAGGATTACTCTCCAGGGTCACTTCCACAAAGCAGACCAAAGACTGGGACAGTCACCTTTTCCACCACTGACAGAGCTTGCTGCACTGAATCCGAGCAGCGTAGGAGATCCTCTGGTGGAGAGGAGGGTGCTCTCAAAGTCCTTGGTAGCAGCATGGCCACAGATGGGGTGGCGCTGTGACAGTGTAGCCAGTGGGACTGCTGTCACCGGATTTGGGAAGTTAATAAAGTTGGTTGGGTGTATGAGTGAGGAACACAGTTAAGATTGAGGTGGTGGACTCACACCTAAACAATAAGTGAGAATGGCACATCTTCAAACAACTAGCAACAACAAATGTTGGCAAGGATGTGGAGAAAAAGGAACTCTCCTGCACTGCTGGTGGGAATGCAAACTAGTACAACCACTATGGAAAACTGTTTGGAGGTTCCTCAAACTGCTAAACATGGAGCTTCCCTACGACCCAGCAATTCCACTCCTATGTATCTACACAAAAGACACAAAAACACTGATTCAAAAAGACACTTGCACCCCCATGTTTATTGCTGCTTTATTTACAATAGGAAAGACATGGGAACAGCCCAAATGTCTAAAAATGGATGATTGGATTAAAAAGATGTGGTACATATACACAATGGAATATTACTCAGCAACCAAAAAAAAAAGAAACACATGTCTTTTGCAGCAACATGGATGGAACTGAAAAATATCATGCTTGGTGAAATAAGTCAGAAAGATAGGGTAAAATACCAGACGGTTTCTCTCATAGCAGGAGTATAACGGAAAAGTCGAGAAAATAATGATAATGATGAACAGCTATATACCAGAGACATTTTGTGGGGGTGGAGTGGGGAATGGGATCAAAAATAGTGGGGGGAGAGAAGTGCACTGGACTATGGTGATGGCACATGGGTGATTTAGTGATGGGAAGCCCACGGGGATTACAACTGAGATGGAAAAAGGCACAAAATTATGTAAAAATAAACATATATATATAAAAGAGTGAGGTGGCAGAACCTCTGTATCCTGCCTCCACAAACCCATCCAGGTTTGCACCTAGCATGGAACTCCAGCCTCTATTTACACCTATTTATTCTTTACCACAGCAGGCAAAGGAAAGAGTTACCCAAAAAAAGGAACTGAGCATCCTCAACTCAGACCTCTGGTCTGGTTTTGAAGTCAGCCTGTTGCCAAGATCTGAGAAAACACTGGTCTTCTCTGGGCCCAGTGCTCTGTGGGAGCCCACTGGGTGTCCAGAAAGATATGAGTGATTAAGGCTGTCTAAGTCAAGGGTCAGTTATGGACAGTGCCCTGCTACACGGATCTGAAGCTATGTTCTCTCCAGTCAACTTTATCAGCAACAAAAGCAGTATTTTTGGCTCCATCTGTCTGGCATCCTTCTCTATTTCCAAACACTGAAAGGAATGAGAAGGCAAATATTATTAATTGTTCCCCTCAAAAATTTCATGATCTATAGTTAATAAAACTGTATGGCATATCTGAAAGTTATTAAGAGTAGATCTTAAAAGTTCTCATTACAAGAAAAAAACTTTGTAATTTTGTATGGTGATGGCTGTTAATGGTGATGGGTTTCACAATAGATACAAAAACATACAATCATTATGTTGTGCACTGAAGAGGATTTAATGTCGTATGTTAATTACATCAGTAAAAGAAGCTTTGCGATCGATTCATCTAAGACCACAAGATGATATATCAGTGCCATCCGTGTTTTCAAGTAACTTGTCTTCCAAGTTTGAATCCCAAATTGACTTGATAACCCATAGTTAATCTGACTTAAGAGTTAACTGCACATTTCTCACTTTTAAACCTTGCAAGTATGGTTAAATAAAAATAAATATACATACTATTTATCATGGCATGCTTGAACTCTCATAACTTGTGATAGACTCCATTAAATGTATATTTAATTTATTACATTATCTACATAGGTATAAGCATACACAGAAAATGTATTTACTTAAATCCATCATTTTACAGCAAAAACAAAACCCCCACTCTGCTGTACCAGAACACTGCTCCACATATGGCCAGCTGCACGTTGGCAGAACACAGTGATTTTAGGGATGAATTAGTGTTCTAATCTCTTTGGGATTTCCTTTATATTTCTGGTGGTTTATGACTGACATTTAATATAACTATAGCTTTCTGTTTATATTTAATGGAAGATTCATTTCTGTGGCAGAATACACATTTACACTCCACCATTGAATAAAAGCTACTGTTCTGCAGGAAGGATATAAAATGTTGATTTATAACGACACATTCCAATAACAGTGATCTAATTCTTCCAAACTGTTTCTTCCTAGGTTCCGGGAACAGCATGGCTCCAGCAAAGGATAATTCTTCTCTTCCAGAATATTCAGCCTTCAACACGTCTGTCCATGCTGCAATAAGACACAAAAACTGGAAACTCCTCACAGGTTTCCCAGGTAGAACTCAGAGCATTTCTCCCCCAGAAGATCATGGAAATTTGTACCAAAACAGCAACCACCTTTTATAACATATCTCAGGAGTCAACTAAATGAGGAAGAATGGTGTGATCTATTAGTCCTGACAAAAAATTAAAACTTTTAAAAAAGAGAGTTATCTGAGGAACAGGTAAACACTTTAATGTTTCTTGGAAAATAGGGATTTCAGATGTGAGTGGCGATCAAACCCACACACCTGATTAGCAAGGAGAAGCTCTGAAAGGTACATCCTGAACCACCAGTATAGCCGGGGGAGGAGGTCGCTTTTCCTAATCATGTTCTCTAAAGGTGACACCTTTTAAATACTCTTAAAATATGTGGTATGGTGATTAAGGCTGTGGTACAATTGAGGGATGTTTATAATAAGGACATTTGTGGCAAGACAATCCAGTGTTTGGGCTGCCCCATGTAGTGCAAGACATTTTAGCATCCCTGGCCCCTGACCACTAAATGCCAGTAGCACCCTCCCCAAAGTCATTCACAACTTCTCACATCTCTCTTTCTCTCTCTCTCTCTCTCTCTCTCTCTCTCTCTCTCTCACACACACACACACACACACACACACACACACTCACACATGTGCATTCACACTCCTGGATGTCCCTGGTTGTGAAGCAGTGAGCTATGTCAAGTTAAAGCACCAGCAGCCAGAGTCTGAAAGACCCAGACACAGCTCACCAGCCACATCTCTCTCAGCTCAGCCACGGTCCCGGGACTCCCCTGAAGTTAGACACGCCTATCATGCCTCTCCCCCAATAAACTGTTATATTTCTTCACCAGGCTGTGGTCACTGGTTCCCTCCACCTTCTCAACACAACGTTTCTGAGATACGGTCCTCAGACCCACCAACCAAGACCCTTTGGCTTTTTGACATTGATCAAGACCCAGAAGAAAGACGTGACCTGTCAAGAGACTATCCCCACATCGTCAAGCAGCTCCTATCTCGCCTGCACTTCTACCATAAGCACTCAGTGCCTGTGTACTTCCCGCCACAGGACCCCCGCTGTGACCCCAAAAGCACCGGGGTTTGGGGTCCTTGGATTTAGAGTTTAGGCAGCTTGGGGACCGTGGGTGGCAGGGGGCGAGAAAACCTTTCTGTTGCAAGCTGGACTTCAGGCCTTTACTCCTGTGAGTCTTGTTCATTTGTTCTCCCAATCTGGGTTCACCTGACCCTTGTTCTAAACCACATTGAGGTGTCTCATTTCAACTCCTGGTGCATTTAAGAACCCGATAAAATCTGAAACACTCCACTTCTGTCTGGGGCATGTGTGCAGAGGAGACACGGGCTGCTTCACCACTCTGTGCTGAGCTGTGGGACAGCAGGGAACTGGGTTTGACCTGGGAAGTTCTCACTGAGCTCTGGAGGCTAGAGCAGCTGGCTCTTTTTGTCTCACACGTCAGATGTTAGATGTCCTTCTGCCAATAGCTGGTTTTTATTGGAATGACTCGCATTTCTTGTAACAGATGAAGAGAGCAGACAGTTGTTAATGGTTCTCTTGGCCTGGGGTCCTCCCTGTCTGTTCAGGCTCCTGTGCAGGCATCCTGTGTGAGTGACACCCCCCTGGGTTTGCCCCAGGCACTCATCATGTTGCACAGCATAAAGACCCTTTCTTATAAGATCAGCGGTTCTTATAGTGAAGAAATATATTTTTATCCCGTTTTTTCCCCAGCCACTTCTCATCACGCTACCCCCTACTTCCCTGCATTACTCTCCTCCCCCTCCTTGTGACTCAGGTGCCTGTGCCTAGAAGGGCCACTTGGCCTATCCATCTGAGTGCCAGCTGGAGGCACTGCCAGCTGCCTTCCTTTTGCACCTAATGCTGAACCGGAGGCTGCCCAGAGACTGATGCACCTGGCTCTGAGCAGGTTTATGGTGCACACAAGAGAGCTAGGTGGGAACACTTGGACGTGTCTCAGCTGCTTGGTGAGTTTTTTTCTACAGAATTTATTGTCATGATTGTGTAACTTTGAGCAGGAGTGCTGTTCTCTAGCAATGAGGAAAAACCCCAGGAATGATCATTCTGTCCTGAGATGATAGAAATGGGAAATTTGAAGGACTCTGGCCGTCATCTGGGATACTGGGTGTTAGTAACGCAAAGGAGAGTCCATCCCTTGATCTCTTGATCTCTCAGAATGTTACTGCTGCATTGAGCTTCTGGGACTGGGGAGAGTGGATCATAGTTTGACCTGCCAGCTCTGTCTCAGTGCCTGTAATGACCTGATGCGAATCAGTTCCCATTAGCTCCCCAAAACATCAAAATCAGAGAAATATGCGCAAAAATGAGACTCTTTTGCATTAGCTGTACTGTTTCATTCCCTACTTAACCCCAATGCCTAACTCAGTACCTATAACAGAGAAGTCACTCAGTGTATTTTTCTAAATAAATGAGTAAATTGACAGGTGAGTAAATAAAAAGTCCTCACACCATGAAAGATGGAGCCCAATGAACTGAATACAGAGGTAATATAAGTCTTCCAACCACTTTTTCTGTTTTCTAGCTGCCTTCCCAGTGTGGAAGCACGGGGTGTATATATATATGTATATGGGCGGTCGTAGGAAACTCTGGGTTGAAGTTGTGAGTTCTTTTTTGGGGTGAGGGGCAGGGAGAAATATACCTACCAAAGACTCTTTTGCTAATAATCCTCAGTTCTATTTTTGATAGGATACTAGAACCTAAAACCACCAAGTAAGATGACATAGGGCCTTGTCCTTCAACTCAGTAGCAGTATTTTCTGGTCACTACTAATAGCCAGTCCTTCAATTCAGTAGCAGTGTTTTCTGGTCACTACTAATTTGCATTAAAATAGTATGATTGGCAGGAAATGGTGCTAGAACTAGAGACACCTATTACCCACCTTGACCCCATTCCTGGGCTGGCAAACAGCCAGCCACAATGCCTCGGGCTCTCATGCCCACACCTGTGGGAGATATATGAACTGCGTGCACGTGTTCCTTCTGGCTCCTTACAGTCCATGGATGTAAGGTTGTAGGTCACACCATCACTACATGACATTTCTTTGCTCTCTGCTGGACTCCCAGTAGCCATCCCAATTCTAATTTCTCAATCATCATCTTCATTGTGAATGTTCCACACTTACTGGGTTCCAAAAGAGTTTTAAAGCATAAATTTTTGTGAAACTTTTGAGATTTCATTTTACCCATTATAGAAACGTCTCACTTGATTTTCTTTTCTGTACTAGAATGTGAGCAGGTCCATGTGTGGTCATGAGAAGAATTAGGTTGTTCTTTTCTGAATTTGTTTACCTTTAAAGAAGGTTTTATTTGTTCAATTGTGAGCTAGTTTTTCTTCTTTACTATATGATTGTTACCGATTTGGAGGACCAAAAAAATTAGTATGTGTGGGTTTTCCGCTTGGGGTGAGCAAAAGTTCTAGAAATATATAGGGGTGATGGTTGTACAAGATTATGAATGCACTTAATGCCCCTGAATTGTATCCTTTAAAATGATTAAAATGGTAACTTATGGTATATGGTTTCTGCTACAATTTTTGAAATGTGTGAGCCAAATTTATAGTAAATTATTTATATCTCAAGAAAGATATGAAATGAATATTGCAAACACGTCAGAACTAAAATAATGTGTTAGTCATTATCCTCAAAATACAAATTATAAACTAAGATGCTAGAGGAATGTCAAGAGAGGGTAGGAGTGAACATAAAGTATTAGTGAAAGAGTATCAGTGCCCTATTGCTACATCACAATTTACTCCCCAAATCTGGCTTAAAATAATAAACGCTCATTATTCCACAGGTTATCTGAAGTTATTCCACACATTATATCAAAACGAGTAAAGTGGTTTAGCTGGATGGCTCAGGATTTAAGCAGTTGGCCAGGGCTGCAGTCATTTGAAGGCTCTCTTGGTGCTGGAGATTCCACTCCCAAGATGACTGAAAGATGACTGAAAGTTAACATGGCACTTTTGTTGGGGGAAAGGATGTTGCCTACAGCAGGACATGAGCCTGTGTAGTTCAGGGAATCCTCTGTATCTTTTTTTTTTTTTTTAAGATTTATTTATTTATTCATACAGAACTGGGGTACAGGCCAGAGGCTCAGGGGCGGTGAGAGGCTTCACCAGAGACAGAGTGGGAAACAGAACAGGCAGATTGACAAAGTACACTGTGAGGGGAGCAGCGGGCGGGTCAGGAGAGGTCTGCCACACCATGTGGTCACCTCCGGGGCAGGCGGGAATCGAACTCATACGGAAGTGGCTTTAGCTTCTCAGTGCTGTGCTTTAACCCACTGCGCCACCGGGGAGGGCCAGAATCCTCTGTATCTTGATATGAGTCACCTTTACTTGTTTGTGTCCATATGCAAAAATTTATTGCATACTCAAGTCATGCACTTTACAGTTTATGTTATACCTAATTAAAGAGTACTTTCAAACAAACAAAACCACCTGCCCTTTGAGCAAAAGAGCACCACGTTTCTCTCATATATTCCCAGCATGTCAGACAAGCACGTAAATAAATACATTTTTAATGTTGAGAGGGAAGTCACTGTTAGAAGAAAGCTTTTGTAAACACAGCTTTAGGTTTTTCTATTTGCCAAAACCCGAATTCACATGTAGTCCCAGCAAGGCAAGGCACTGAGCAGATTCTCTGTGATCCAGGCAGATGGGTAAAGGAGGAGTCCTTGAGCCCTCATTGGCTTTTTTAGGCTTGTAATGATCTTTCTACCCCATTTGCAGTGAGGTAACCAGGTGCAGGGTAGGGAGGGGGGTCTGGGGGCCAGGAGGCTGGCAGGTCTTTCAGTTCCTTCTCCCCACTTCCTCCCCGGCCCTAGTGAATATGTACTCCTCTGGGCTCTGGGGTGTTCTCCCATGGTCTCTTTGCTGGTCTCTATCGCTCTCAGCCACACAGTCCTCTGCCACCTCTCTGTCCTCAGCTGCCGCCCCTATAGGCTCCACCTCCCGGCTCAGGTGCGCCCACTCTAGCACGCACGCATGCACGCACACACGCACGCACGCACACACGCACGCACGCACGCACGCACACATCCACTCTAGGGGCCGCCATCAGGCAGCGTGTGAGCCCGCAGGTATCGGTCACAGATGCTAATGGTAGGAGGGCAGAAAAAACCTGATCGCGGCCATTCACTCCACAACACAAATTTCTGAGATGTTGCTACCTAAGTTTGTGTGAGTGTGAAGGATTTACACCCAGCTGTTAGTGCTGGGGCGGAATTAGAGACCAGGAAATGGTATGGGAAACAGGCATGACAGTCCCCTCCCCAGCACCTCGGGAGGTTTACAGTCAAATTCTGTGCTAGTGCAACCAAGTTTTTTCTGACTTAGCAGTTTTCAAGACCACTCCAGACAATACTAAATAGACTGAAGTGCTTATTATCCTTCCCAGCCACCGCTTAAACTTTAATTTTAAAACTTATTTTTATCCAAGTAAACAATAAACATAATCTGGTAATTGGCTTATTTCCAGCCTGTTGAAAGGCCAGCCTGCTTACTTGGTCTGCACCCTTCCTCATCACCAGAAACAGGTAGGTGGTAATAGCATATAGGTACCTGCCTCAGCTCTGTCACCTTCGTTCGTTCTGTCACCATGGAAGCCACCCACCAGATAGTACAAAGCAGAGGAGGAACACAGTGACTCATGCTGCAGGGGTCTGACTTCCAGGAACAGTCAGGAAATTGGAGAGGTAATTTCATTCTCAGATACAGTCACTCAGGTAACCAATCGTTGAGTTTAAGTTATTTCATGTCATAACCCTTACTACTTTTCTGACAGTAGAAATAATGTATACTGCTCTGACAACTATAGCAAATACAAAAACCGCATAAAATTAAATAGGCCAGAGGCCAGCCTCAGATAGCAACTACTGTTAACCTTTATAAACAAAGGTTTATAAGGTTAACCGAAAGTGATTAAGTGGCCCACTTCCCAGATTGGTTTTCAAGTCTCATTGTACTCAAGTGAACCCTATGGGATATGGTAGATGGTAGATAAATAAAATGGCACAGCTTTTGGAATTCTTCATTTGAATCCCATTAAGGTAGAGGTGGTATTTCGGAGGGGCTTAGTTTCTCTCCCTTACTCACATCCTCCTCCCTGGGCAGAAGGCATGAGGGACAGGGAGGACAGGCGGCCAGGTGTGATCAATCAAACCAGCAAGTCAGCAGCCTCCCCAGTACACACCAGACTCTTGCAGAGGTGGCTGGCTAGGGACATCACCACAGGCATTCCTCCCCTCCTCAGGTAAGCCATGAAATAGGATGAATGTAAATTCACTTACATTAAGTGAATCTAAGTTGAATTTGCCCATTTTGCCAGCATTTTGTAGCTGAGCCCATTCCAGTCCACTCTGACAAGCATTGAGGACAAGGCTGGGGATCACTGAGGGCAGCAACGGAGGAGGGTGATGCTTACCTTCCACAGAGCACAAATAGGGGGCCCAGCAGACAGAAAGAGGAGGTTCAGGGTCAAGCAGAGGAGGTAGAGGGGGCTCAGTGAAACTACACCTCAATGCCTGGCAAACGAATTCATTTGATCCTACCTTTAGCTGTCTTTTTACACTGTAGAAGCAGTGAGTTCTTTCTGTGAACTAGTTTTAAATTCAATTGATGGATCCTCTGTTACGGGAACAACTGTTTTGTATGAAATATTACTTGTTGGGGCTTCACCAAAATATGGTTGGTTCTCTTTGTTTTTGAGTCAGAGACTGAGTGTTTGGATTAAAGACATTCAAGCATGGAAGGAAATATGTGGCCCCCCAAATCCAGGACTTTGGGAGATGGGACCCCCACAGTGGGATTTGCATACTCAGGGTTTTGCCAGCAAGCAAGGGGAGGTTCTCTATCGATTTGGGCAGATGGATAAAGGAGAGTCCTGGCCCCCTCAGTGCCTTTTCAGACTTTACTGATCTTTCTCTGCCAATTGTGGGGAAAGCCCGCAGGCTGGCAGGGCAGAGCGGGGAGGCCAGGGGCCTGACAGGCTTCCTGGCCCCTGGCGAATCACTATGCTTTTGTTTCTCTGGGGTCTCTTCCTCTCATAGCCTTTCTCCACCCCAGCCAATTTTTGCTGAGTGACGCACCCTGTAGCCTCGGCCTCCAGGCACAGCTGCGCCCACTCACGCACCAACACCATCCTCCAGGTGTCCGCCATCAGGCACGAGCACCCGCGCATGCTCACAAGCGCCTCCTGTGTTCAAAGGAGGCCGCACCGGGGCCAGCAGATTAAAAGCCTGAGCATTTCCTTTACCTACACTCAGGTATACAATGGGGTCCACGGATGCGCTTTCCTCCAACAAACCTTCCGGAGGTTCCTTGGCAGCCAGGACCAGGAAAACTCCCCAGAAACCCCCACAGCTCTCACTGTTGGAAGTCGACGTGGTGCTTCTTTTTTTAATAATCACTTTACTAGCAAAAGTGAGCCAGAGGTGCTTCTTTATCACCTTTGTAAAGGAAAGTTCATGCCATTATTAATCATACAAGTAAATGCAGGAATTCAAATTACTCTTATACTTGAACTACAAGCTCTTCTTGGCCTGGAGGGAAACTGAGGAGTAGCTTTTCCACTAACTGATTCAGCGTCTCCAGTCCCCGGTCTGTGACTGGTTGGCACAGATCGGGTCTCCGGCCTGTCCCTGCTGACAGCGGTTCTGGATGGCACTCCATGGTGGCTGGTGAGCTACCGTCCCTTCCATCTGAGAAGAATCACAGCTGCTTTCTTCTAACAGTTTGTTTGGCTGGTGTGTCTGGAGACCCCGAAGCAAGGGAAGCCTTCTAAAAGAGTTCAGTGTGTAAACACAAGTGGAAACCAGCACACACATCCTCTGCATACCATGAAGACATCACGGAGGGGCCAGCCGAAGGAAGGAGTCAAGTAAGTCAATAAACAAGTTGGTGGAGATGCAACATACAGAGATGGGATGTTTGGAAGAAATAACTCAAACACTGAGAGGAGAAAAGAGAAACAGAAGTTTCGGGGGTGAAGAAATTCCCTGAGCTTGATGGTCAGGATTATAATACAAGGCTTCTGGATCATAAAGCTGCCCTCTCCCTGCAGCCCCCCTCCCCCCAGGAGACTCGTGTCACCTAAGAATTGCTCCTTCTCTGGCTCCCTCCAGCACCTGTCACCCCCTGCCCATGTGCACCCGTCCGGGCAGTTCACCACCACTTCAATCGTGTAAGTTATGCCATAGGGGTGAAGCACATTTATTCAGCACATACATTTGACTTTTACGATAACTACTAAACGCCTCGCAATCATGTCTAATCTCTAGGTGAATGGTTTTACCTCTTAGGAATGATCTTGTATGAAGTCAGACAGTTGGTAGAGTTGCAGCTGGAGCTAGTAAAAAGTGCCACTCTCTACTATGCCCCGCCACCTCCAGTCCCTGGCTTCCTTGTCTTCTCACTCTTGCTCTCTCTCTTTTTTTTTTTTAAGATTTATTTATTTTATTCATGCAGAACTGGGGTGCAGGCCAGAGATGCGGAGGGTGAGAAGATTCACCA